CAAAGTTATTATAATTTAATTGTTATAAATTAATATTAAAAATATGATTAATTATATAAAAGAATTAAAAATTTTCAATCCATTAATTAACTCATGATCCATTAAAGTTAGTTTAGGTTAACATTTGTTGACCTACAACTCTTATATAACCCAACTCATAAAACACATAATTCGGATAAATCTAATTCAAACTCAGCTCAACCCACTCGTTGCTACCTCTAGTTCTACCTATGCAAAACACACTTCTTTCCTCCCCTCCTAATCGAAGCCCAAGCATGCCAAAATCCTTCTCTCTCAGTGAATGAGCAAGGGTTCTTTCTAATTCTTTCTCTATATCGATTCCATCATGTTTGGTACGAACATAACAAATGCATGGAAACAAAACTATACTAACATAAAAAGACACAAAATTAGTTATGAACTCGAATCATCATTCATCCATCTTTGAGAAAGGCAAAGAAAGGAAAGAAAAGGAAAAAAATTGGAATCATACTCAGACAAACACAGGGGGGACTTCAAACACAAAAGAGAGAAAAACATAATGGAACCATACCCATTCGAAAAACCATTTAAATTCGACGGCAACCAAGTATGGAATGGAACATTATGCACTCGATCTAGCTTAACAAAAGATTTAAAACAATTGTGGAGAAATTACTGAAGAACTCATCTTATTTTTTAAAATAAGGGGCAAATTGGGTGAGACAAATTGAGAAAAATTGGGTTTACTGTGTGTAAGGACAGGTTTGAGATGCCCAACCTCGAACGTACAACAGTAATTCTTTTATGACTGAAGTGAAGGATAAATCTAAGGACTCCCGCTCAAATAGCTGCATGACAGCAACAGTAAGCATGCCCGCACCTGATTCTTTATAATAAGCTGCACAGCAGCTATGATGGGCATCCTTGAATTTGAATATCTCTCAAATCCCCGTTCCCGATATAATTGTTTGGATACACGCTAGGCTCCGACTATCTTGCTTGGCATGCCACGTGGGTTCCTCACTGAATCCTATAAATACCCCCCAGGGGCCACGTCAAAAAGGTAATTGAAACCAACCCTAAGCTCCTTTTATCTTTGCTCTAGAGTTAGCTCCGATTATTACTGACTTAAGCATCGGAGTATCTACCTCGAGGACCCACCTCGGGGCTTTGTAGGTCAATCTGGAGTGCGGACGTGGACTAAAGAAGGACATCTGATTTGGTGCAATTACATTTGGCGCCATCTATGGGAATCGAACCCACGACCACATGGTCCCGAGTTCAGATCTATACTGCTTCACCTCCTCCACTATATCTGCATCTACATCATAGCACCTATCTTTCCTACCCTCCACTTCTACCACAGTGATGGGTACACTATCACCTCCACTCCTAACTACCTCCACTCCTAACTATCTCCCCTCCTCTCACTCCCTCACCTCCTTCCACCCCTTCCACCGTCCTCTCCGAACTAGATGGAGACGGACTACTCTCCGAGTCCATGCTACCATACTCTAGGGGCATCACCTCACTCCCTACTACACTTACTGTTTCCTCTGAAAACATTGTTTCAATCTCTGCACGAGGTAGGGGGGAGGAATGAAGTCAAGACCCCTTTTCAAAAAAAAAAAACAAAAAAACAAAAAAACAAAAACAAAAACCCCTCTAATGCACATTCAAAGTCATTCTCACTTCCAACCCTAACTTTTCTCAGAGGACTCTAAATCAACCACAAAAAGGGAGAAAGGAGAGTGACACTTCGATTAACACAAAATCAGAGATTCGTATACATTACCTGATTTCGATTTCGAAAACTTGATGTGGAAATCCCTAAATGTTGCAACAATTCACGCGCAAGAAAGCACACAGTAAAGTCTTTTACAGAAATTTTGCAGAAAATGTAGAAAGTAAACTTCTTTTTACAGAAAAATGACTATTTATACCTCTGGGCAAAATTAGATCTCAACGGCTGGGATTAGTTTAATCTTACGGTCCTTATTCACACCGTTTCGAATTCGACGGTCAACCCCAAACAGCACCGTTTTGAACTCGACGGTTCGTTTTTTTTTTTTTAAATTTGCTTGTTTAACTATTGCAGTTACCTTTTTACAGCCGCATTTATTGCACACGTCATTCAAAGGACAGATGTCACACCACGTACTGCCCTTTTATCAGACTTCTCAGCCGAGCCCACTTAAACACATTTCAACACTCTTGCCCACTTTTACACATTCTCAACAAGTGTTCCACTTCGGCTCAGGTCACAGTGACCCAGTGTCACACGTTTCACCTCGGCTCCGGCCACAGTGACCCAGTGTCACATGTTTCACTATTTTTTATTACGGCTTCGGCCACTATGACTCTGGTCACTATTTTTTATTACGGCTCCGGCCACTATTCCTTACTATGGCTCCGGCCACTATTCCTTACTATGGCTCCAGCCACAATGACTCCAGTCATTACTTTTCCGGGGCTATGGCCCTGATTGCTTTGATCACAGTTTATTTTGGGCATGACCATCATGGCTCCTATCTCATACTGCGCTACTAACTACAGCCATACATATGAGTTGTAAATTTTTGTTTTTATTTTTATTTTCACTCCTGTAACTCATCTTTACTATCTTCATCTCTCTTTCTTTCTATTTATGCACTACCCCCATCAACTCCAACACTATCATTCACAAGTGAATGACTTGTGGGGGGGGGGAATAGTGTAAGGACAGGTCCGAGATGCCCAACCTCGGACATACGACAGTAATTCCTTTATGACCGAAGTGAAGGATAAATCTAAGGACTCCCGCTCAAATTGCTGCATGACAGCAACAGTAAGCATGCCCGCACCTGATTCTTTATAATAAGCTACACAGCATTTATGATGGGCGTCCTTGCATCTGAATATCTCTCAAATCCCCAGTCCCAAAATAACGTTTGGATACACGTCAAGCTCCGACTATCTTGCTTGGCATGCCACGTGGGTTCCTCACTGGATCCTATAAATACCCCTAAGGGCCACGTCAAAAAGGTAATTGAAATCAACCCTAAGCTCTTTTTATCTCTGCTCTAGAGGTAGCTCCGATTATTGCTGACTTAAGCATCGGAGTGTCTGCCCCGATGACCCACCTTGGGACTTTGCAGGTCGATCCAGAGTGCGGACGTGGACTGAAGAAGGACATTTGGTTTGATGCAATTACACTGGGGAAGGAATGGGGCAAACTATGGGAGACAAAGGAAGCAGGACGTTTTCACCTTTTCTTTTTTTTTGCCAGAGGGTCCGATTTTCTGTTTTCCTGTTTCTTTTTTTTGGCAATTCATGTGTCTATTTTGGGTTTAAGCCCAGTATGAGAAAATGTGTTGGCAATGGTACAAATTTTGTCTTTTTTATTTATTTAAGTATACAAAATTTTTTGATATTTAAATTAAAAGGTAAACTTTCATGTTTTTTAAATAAGAATATGATATTTATAATTTTTTTTATTTAAATATTTATTGGATAACAAAAAATAATGTGACAAACAATTATATTAGATAAAATAGGAAAAATTTATATTTTTAAATGACAAATAAAATTTATATTTTCAAATAAAGAAAAAAATTTATATCTGATTTAGAAATTTTAATTCAAAAAGATACTATCTTTAAATTAAAAAAATAAAGACAAAATTGGTAACTTTTTCTCTCCCAATATAGGTCAATATTTTAATGTCAAAATATCTGCATTTTTATTTTTTTCATAAGTGAGATTGGATTTTTTTAATCTTAAAATAAAATTACCAAACTACTTTTAATGAGCAAGAATAATTAAATATATTGAAATACTTTTATAATTTATACTGTATATAATCTAGACTCAAAAAAATGAAAAAGGCCAATAAAATAATTTTTTTTTTGAACATTTTGTCATGGGGCCGGCTCGAACCGTTGCCCTGGTGGAAAGGGACATGAACTTTACAGACGTAGCTAGAGTCACTTGGCCCGAAGGGTCAGGTTCAGCCAATAAAATAATTAATTAAACTATTAAAAAAAATATTTCATTATCCGTACAAAAGATTGGAAGCATTATTCCTCCTCCTCACCCGTCTCCAGCATGAGAGTTTCACTTGGTTTGTCACATAAAAGGAAATCTAGATTGAGAAAAATCATTTCTGTAGATAAAATATCTGAAGAAGATGCAAATTTTATCATTAAGGGCCGTTTCATTAGCAACATCAGAAGAAATTCAAGGCAACTTTCAAAAAATAGGCCGAGGAAGAATTAATTTACAAAAATAAAAAAATTAAAAATTGAATTTATTTAAGGGGTTAGTGATTATCCACCTTACTACTAAAAAATTAAGAAGAAAAAATACAAAAATCACTTTAATGCATGCTTTAAAAATAAGGTAGTTTAGTTTTTTTAATAAAAATTTATTGAAACGACGTAATTTTGAAATGATTTTCCTCCTAATCTTTAGGAGGTAAGGCTGATAGACACTATTTTTTTAAATTAATTTGTGTGCCAAAGATAATCAAACGAAGCCAAAATATTTTGGTTAATCAAAATTTATTTTGAAAGGTTATATGGTTTTTTTAATTAGTTTTTTGTGGTAAATCGATGGATTAATTGTTTGGTAACAAAAAAATTTAAATTTTTAATTTTGATCCAAAATTAAAGTTTTTAATTTAATAAGTACTAACTCAATTAAATTTTTGTTAGTTTAAAAAGTTATTTGGTTGGAATATTGAAAAACATATACTCCCCTAATTTTAAAATAATAATTTTTATTTAAAAAATTATTTTAAATTTATTATTATTATTTTAATTAATAAAGTAGATAAATGTAATTTTGATCCAAAATTAAAGTTTTTAATTTAATAAGTACTAACTCAATTAAATTTTTGTTAGTTTAAAAAGTTATTTGGTTGGAATATTGAAA